AATTGGCTCCCTAAGAAATCTAAATACCAGGAAAGGGGAAAGGCAGGAACATGTGCAGCAGCCCAGACTTATGTCAGCCTAGGCTGCCATAGAGACACACATATGCTTATATACACAGCTTCACATAATTACTGGATTATGGTCTGAGACCAAATTTAAAAACAAGCTCCACTAAAGTGGAAACCACCCTACTGCTCATCTGCACCATCAGGCTTCAGACTGCCTGACAGCGTACATTTCCTTTAGAGAAATGAAAACATTTATACACTCTTGATCAACACTTGGTGAAATGGCAAATATAGCCCTTTCAGCTCTTGCTGTCATTTCCATGTCAGGGTTTTATTAAGAGATTTTTTTTTTACATGAACACATTAAACAATGTTCCAACTTTGGCTGATAAATGAAGGTGTCTGAGACTGTCATAGGTGTTCAGTCTGTGTGCTCTGCTCTTGGTGCACTTTGTGTCCAAATAATTGGAAAAACTCAATTTCATAGATTTTTTTTTTCATGACAGGAGAGCGAGACAACTCAACTCCAGACTTTCTAATAGGAAGAATTATTGAGAAAAGGAAAGAAGACTGAAACATAGGCACATTCCTCAGTGGAAGAAGCTGCTTTTCATCAATAGCAAAATAGTACATATGATTTGTAAAGCCTTTGAATACTTTGTAATTAAAGATGCCATTCTCTGTGGGGATCCTCATGTTCTTTTTCTTCCTGCTTATAGGTTTTATGTCCTTTGCCCAATTTTCATTATTTATTAAAAGAAATGAGAGCAAAAGGTTTATCAGCTTTTTAGTCATCCAGATCACTTTTACTTAAGTATTTTAAGTAATCACTTATATACGCTAACTGGCTAAGTTAAGAACTTCTTTTTAAACTATCTTGATTTCCACAGATAAGTCTGTGCCTGTGAGTTGTACATAGATTTGCCTTGATGTTTGTCATTCAGAGGATATGTGGATAACTTGATGGCATCCTTTCTGATCCCCAGCTGAGTAACTGTTTAAATACATGAATAAGGAATACTGAAACATTTCTATACACACACATGCTTTTATTCACAACCTAATATCAATGATCACCTCAGGAGCAGCCTTTCTTTAGACGTCCAGTTGCCTGAATATTCATGAATAGCAAGAAATGGTGTGAGTAAGCTAACCCACTACCATAAATTTGTGACCCAGCTGCTTTGACTTAGTCTGCATTTAACAGCCTCTCCATCTCAGCATTTTCTAATATCCTCATCACTTTGACATGGAGCACATTTTTGGCTTGCTACATTGCTGTGGAGGGGGTACATTCCTTGTTATGACAGCCTTGCTGACATTTATGGTTTTGCATTGAGTGGAATAAACAAGCATATTATTAGCCACATCCCAGGCAGGACATAACAAGAGAGGAAATCTAACTCTCTTCTCACAGTGTTCAGCTCTCTGGGGATTCATTTATTTCCTCCAAATCTAAGCTGAAGCACAAGCAGCTACTTGAGGCTTGTAACACAGATAGTTTGCAAGTAATGACCCAGTCTCTCCACTTTCAACTTTTGGACAAAGTGTAAGTGCAAGTGAATGTTGTTTTCGACCTTTTTTGGCATAGCATGGCACCACAAATCATAATTTATCCACTTACTCCCAGTCTAAGCTCTCATGTAAGCTGCTGGCAACAGAAATAAGAATCCTAAGGCTCTTTACATAATTTCTCACAATGTCAAAAGAGCATTAACGGATACAGGAATCATAATGGACTATTCTTTTCCAGCTGTGCTGGAAGCCTATACGCTCTCTTTGATGCACTAACAGTGGAGCATGAGAATACTAAAGAAATCCATGGATTACAACTGTCAAAATGAAGCTGCTTTTAGGAAATAAAACGGAAGATCACTAAAAGTGGCCAGACTAGTTAGGCCAAAAGAAAAAATTACTCCAACTTTCTTCTGAAACCAACTGGGATACACAAAAGCCTTTAGCAGGTTGGCAGACATTAGAAAGGGAAGGTGCATTAGGAATGCCAGTGCATTGAAGCTTCCATGGCTCCAGCAGGATTGATCCCTACATAAGACTCCCTAGTCTATTTGGAAGCCCAGTTTTAAATGGGTCAAGTGAGGGGTCTGCTGCAGCAACTTCCTTTGGAGAAATGATTTCACAAACCTGGGAAATTTTACTGTTGAGAATGCTTCCTGACCTACACAGTAATTTCCGTGTGCTTTGATCTACATACACACAGGCAAATTCACTTAGACTTTTTCAGTATCAGTTATGGTTTTTACTCAAATCCCACAAAAAATAATGGAATCATGTCTCTTTGACCACCTCCATTCCATCACCTCTGCCTTGAAAGTTCAGCAAAACTATCACATTTTACCCTTATTTTCTGAGCGATGATGCTGTCATCAGCCTTTACTTCTTTAACCCACTATTACCTACATAGCTTTCTTTAATACCTAAATAATTTTTCATTCCCAGTGCTCTATGCCTTCATCAAATAACACTCAAATCTTTCTTAAAGACTTATTTCCTTGTAAGATTATAAACCTTAATCTTCATCAGTGTATGGCATGTACATAATTTGATGTGACACACAGATAGATAGCATGCCAAGTTAACATCTTCCCAGAGACCTCCCCATATAGTTTTCATTTTTGGGTGTATTGATTTTAAATCTCTCCCTTGGGTACAGCCTTTCAAGGGGGCAACACTTTGTTTACTAGACATTAAATAACATCATTAATGCAGACAATAAAGACAGACTTTTAAAGAAAACAAATGCAACCAAACTGCTGTGGCTGCAGCCTGTGTTTGTCATGGGTGTTATATGTCTGTCATTCCTTCTTTCTTCTAGAAGGGCAAAAGTCAGCAGCAACAACAAAACCAGACATTTTAGTTGTCTGGTACTAAACTCTTTGTATTTCATGGCCTATGTCTCTCTTCCCTTGGGTTATTAAAAATATAAAAGGCAATATCATGTTTATTGTGGAATATTGAGCCAGTGTCACCCAAAAGATCCTGGTCTTATCCGTGAGCAATTACTTCCCATCTTTATTTTCTCTCTCTGCATCCAAGCAATGTGCTTTGTTGCTCTAGTCAAGTGAAATCCAGAATGTCAGGTGGAAGGAGGGATGGGAACAACAACACCACCTACTCAGAAAAGCATATTTGAGCTTTAATTTAAACTTGTCAACAAACATAAAAGCATAAAATCTTCTCCATCATTTTGCAACTTTTCTTCCTGTAAATTTCTCAGTTACTTCATTCTGCTCTTTTTTACTCACTCCTCTCAATGAAATTGGCAATGGATTAAAAAAAATAAAAATAAAAGGCTATTTGATGTTTTGTGCTGCTGAAACACAAGAACAGATGGGAGTTGAGACTAACAGGTGACCTCCGTAGACAGTCCAGGAAAACAAAAAAAAAGGGGGAAAAAAACGTTAAACCACCAGTGTTTACAGAAGAAAGAATGAAAAAATTCCTATAATCTGCCTTTAAAATAAGATGTTCACTCTAGAAGCATATGTTTGTATTTTATTACCAGTAATTTTATGGTGGGCAAAGCTAAATGATCTCATATTTGACGTAGGCTAAAAGCAAGAGTTACCGTGGGTCATCTGACTTTAGGAGATTATTCAGCTGCACTAAATCATAAATTTAAGATCCAACACAGATTAGTTAATCCAATGCAATGTTTCAATGCAGAAAACTGTGCTGGACTAGAAGAGAAAGAAAGGAGCCCTCTTGACCTCTATGGTTGATCATTCACTAATATCTTTAAAATTGTCTGCCTAATTTTCTGAGCAATGCAGCTCACAATTCTTTAACTCCAAGAGAGATTCCCATTACCTGAGTCCAGCACAAAAATACTGTTAGTAGAGGAAAAATATATTAGCTTTTTAAACAAACAAACAAACAAATTTACATTTGCACTATCTATAGTCTGATCATTCTTCCTGCATACCCAGGCTTATCTCTGCCATATTATTCTAAAGTCACTTCTTCTTATCCACATTTTGAGTTACAAATATTATTCTAGATTTGAAAAACTCCTCATTACAATTTTCATTTAATCAGATAACTCCTTATAAGAATGTTTATCTCAAAGAATAAACATTTACTGACCGAAAGAAAAACATTATTGCATCATTTCTATATTAGTTTGATAATATTCTATTCTCAAGTTGTGATGAAGCAACATACCAGACCTTATGTGGAAAAACATACAGCTGTTGTGCTTATCAGGAAGAGTAAAAAAGTTCAGAAATTGACAAAATGGGACTAGCTCTCACTCTGTCTCTGTTATGAGGCCATGAGGTGTATGAAGTATCATGAGATGTAGACCTTTTTTTTCCATCTTTGGAGTGACCTACAAGAACATAACCCTGATACATAATTCAATTGCATTATTTTTTTCAATTTCCACAGAAGTTATTTTGCAGAAGAAATTTAATCACACACAATGACCCATGCTGCTTTCTTCAGTTTCAATCCCAATCAACTTCTAATCTGCACTCCTATTGCCAACAAGTATAACTAATCATACCTGGCCAGAAGGGAATTATGCTTCAGATTCTCAAAGATCGCTTTCTTTGAACTTTATTAGCAGAGACCCAGGAAAACAAATACACAACATATAACCTCCTAATTCCAATACAGGATTTATAAATATGTAACATGCAGGCATCTAATGATTTCCAGGTGCACATCACCAACTAGCTCATGCTTAATTATTTAGCCAGCTGGCCTAGTGTGTCAGCAGTAGTGCAGACACAGCTTCAGAGTGGGTTGTGTAGTTGGATTTGCAGCTTTATCTATGATCATAGAAAGCAGGCAAACTCCTGACATAGAAAGTGTTTCCTACAAGTAATGGCATGCCAAAAATCCAGTAATATAACAAAACCAGTGTTACCCTTGAAAAGTATAGCAGTAGTCTTGGTCAAAGACAAATGCGTCACTTTCATCTTCTTATCTCAACAGTCAGACCAAGGAATGTAGAAATTGCAAATAGGAATATCTGAATATCTTCTAGGATAAAACAAAAACTCTGCTGCAGACAACTCACTTTTCTTTAGAATGTAAGCAATGAGAACATTTCCTGAGTGTCTTCCTTATTCAGTTTGTTTTTGCTTAGTTTTACATGTTCATGCCTCTATTTATACATCATGATACAAGCTGAAGCTGGAAGGAAATGATTAACATTTGTATTAATGTTAGAGATGAGCCACTAAGAAAAAGGGCAATATTACAAATCCTCAAGAAAATGGTTTTGATGATCCATTGGAGCATGAGCGTCTGAAGTTAATATAGAGAAGGGGAAGTGCAATGAATTTTTTTTTGAGCAATCAGATCTATGTCCATTACTCAATAGAGGGTACGCTGTTTAGAATTATCAGGTACTGGATACCAATGATTTACCCCAACCACAAATCAGAAACAATGTTGGACCAGTCATTTAGTAAAATTAATTTGCTTAACTGCAGAGGATGCAGCTGGGTAGCATTTTGACATCAGCAAATTTAAATCAGTCATGTTGCATCATGTTGGATATCAAAAAAAATTAAATGTGGGAGCTGGGAACATCTTTAGATTATTTAACCCTTTAAGGATTATTTTTTTTCTAGTTACTACTTGGGAGAAAAACATGGACTTTGAAATGAAAGAACATGTGACAACTGCTTTGTGTTTTTACCAGAACAGAACCCCTAAGTGAGACCTGGTTGTTCTGGTATTTCCTGGCATTTAGTTACCAGTAAAGCAAATATCCCTTACTACCTCTGGTTTTATTTTGAACTGAGCTGGAATGGATCCCAACAGCTTCTCTTTAACAAAGCACATTTTTGCTAAAGCATCATTTCAAGAAGGAATATAGCCTTGCTTTTGAGACATCAAGGAACAAAAAATTTACCACTGTCCTTGGTTATTTTTTCCTACTGCTCAAAATTTTGTATCATATCTAATTTAATTTGCTTGCTCTCCCCCCCTCCCCCCCACCCCACCCAGCTCAGTTTATACATTCTGACTTTCAGGACATTTTCTGTCACTAGATTAAAGAATGCTTTACCACAAGGCATTCTCTTTTTGGGAAGGTACACACTGCAATCAAGTCACTCCTGGAAGAAAAACCAAAGAGATCGAGCTCTTAAGTCTCTCGGTATCACATTTTGCTCTAGCACTTCAACTGTTTTTTCAACATTCTTTTTAAAATGTAGACACTTTCTGAACTCAAAATTCTGGTATTGGCTCTCACTATTCTGTGTACAGTGTAAATCCCTCTCTGATCCTACTTGTTACTCCTTCTTGCATTTCGAGGGACTGAGCATTTTTGTTGTTTGGGTATTTTCCCCACAGGAGTGTTCTGGGAGTCTCATGTCACACTGATTTTCAACTCTAAGCCCTATCTCTTTTCCCACGTCACTACTTTCCTGGGAACAGGGCTTGATTCTGTAATTCCGTCATGAACTCCATTTACTAGACATACAGCTCTGATTTAGCTTATTTGAACTTTTACCTCTTTCACGAATTGGCCTTATTTTTCAGGTCATTTACATCACTTCCCATGACTGCCCTCTTCTCACTAGTGTTTGCAATCACTCAGTTCTTTGCAACATCTTCAAATCTGAAATCATAAAAGATTTAGTCTTTACTGTGTTTTGGTTTCACAGCTTAAGTAATAAAAAAGAAAGAAGCAGGGAAAACAGGCAACTGTGTTTCTTCTTGTTTACCTCACAAACATTTTTTCATGAAGATTCTTCTCCATCACAATGCTTTTGAACAACTGGAGGGTTTGAATATTTCTTTAAGTCAGTATCTTGGACTTTGCATGTTTTCCGCAAAGAGCTGAATCTGAATCTCACTTGTACTCTCCCTTTGAGGCACCAGAAATCTGAATCTATATTCTGTACCATGTTGCACAGAGAGGCTTTGTGTAACAGAATAAAGCACAATATGAATTAAGGAGACAATTATTAGAGACATAAAAGTTACCATCACCTCTTTAGGATGAGAAAGTGTGTATCTTCCATCAGCCATAAGACTCTGCAATGCAAAAGGGATTCATAATGGAACTGGCTTGAAATTGAAGATAATTTTGTGTGAAGCTGAAATGCTTTTTGGGAAAAAAGTCTCAATCCACAGTGAAGATTCTGGAACTCCTTCTCTTGTCATACTTATAAAAAAAAATAGATTTTCATGTATAAGTAACCAAAAAACAATCTTCTCACTTGCCAGCTGCTTATCTAGGAGGAATTTTCAACATGATTTTGCTTCCAAAAGAGAGAAAATAAAACTGGCTCTTGCCTGGTATCTCCATTGAAGAAAATGTGGGGTACTGGGCTTACCCTTTATCCATCTTCAATGGTAAGCCAGTAAGAGACAGCTTAAGACTCCTTCAGTTAGGCAGCTGACATCCAGCTCTTAAACCAGTGCTGATATACACTTGCAAGAGGCAGCTCTTGATCCTTTCTGAAGAATATCTTTCACAGTAAACTCATCTGGTTTTATTCTAGATTATCTACCACTATGGAATAACATAACAGGAAATATTTTCACTGGTTCTGTGAAGGAGATTAAAACCTCTTATTTTTTAATGGAGACCTATCACTCATGTTTTACTTAGGCAGCTTAATGCAAAATTATTGAAAGACTGAATCTGGCCAATGTGGATGCAGATTTAATCTCCTAGAGAGTCTTGAAAGGAAATTCTGGCTCTGGGATTAAATGAAAGATACTTCAATAAAATCACAAGGGGTGGAAATCCAGGAGATCTCAGTCCAGTTTACCGTGAAGTAACTTCTTGCTGTTCACATATTTATCTCCAGACTAAAGACAAAGCTTTGTCACTAAGCTTTTTTTCAGAGATTTTGCTTACACTTGGTCTTGGTAGTCTCTTTTTAAGATAAAAGCCTGTGAGGCTGATTTTCAAAGACGGGTTCCAATTTCAGATGCACCAATTTCAGCTGAAAAAAAAATAAAAAATCACCACTGCATTTCTGGAGATAATACCCTTCACTTCTGCTGTAGCTGGGCATGATCAGTAGTCTAAAATCTGTCACTGAATACTATGAAGATGAGCACCCAAAACTGAAACATTAGTGTCCTCGTTTGAAATATTTTGCCAAAGTTTTCCTATGTCTTCCCTTACACTCACGTCGCCCATCTTGGCATAACCTACTATTAATGTGAATAAATTATTGTAGTCTGAGATCCCAGGGAAATGTATTGATGCCCAAACATCATCCAGTATCTGAAGGGGGCCTATAAGGTTGCTTCATTAGGGACTGTAGTGATAGGACAAGGGGTAATGGATTAAAACTTAAACAGGGGAAGTGTAGATTGGATATAAGGAAGAAGTTCTCTACTGTAAGGGTGGTGAAGCACTGGAATGGGTTGCCCAGGGAAGTTGTGAATGCTCCATCCCTGGCAGTGTTCAAGGCCAGGCTGGACAGTGTCTTGGATGGCATGGTTTAGTGTGAGGTGTCCCTGCCCATGGCAGTGGGGTTGGAACTAGATGATCTTAAGGTCCTTTCCAGCCCCAGCTATTCTGTGATTCTATGATCACTTTTCCTCTTTTAGCAAATGGCTGGTCACTTCTCCTTGAAACTATACGCATTGTTTGCTATGCAAACATCAGGTTTTATGTGTCATCACAAAATGTCTGAAAAAGAAATATCACCAAACCATTATTCTAGACATGTCCCACTAATAAGGTATTCTACTGCTACCTCTAGGAGCAGTTCTGTGAAAGCGATGGCGACAGTTCAACTTATTTTCAACTTTTAGCATCTCTAGCTTAGTTTAAATGTTTAGTTTTCAAATCTTCTGAGTAGGGTGAAAAATAATTTCCCTGCTTATGTTTGTTAAAGTGGTATGCTATTTGAAAGCAGAAAGAAGAATGAAATGGGCCAGAAGAATAAAAAACTACTCATAGATTCCATTGTGTTGACAGTGGAGCTCTAAACCGAAGAATGGCCCCTTATAATTTAAAACTATTTTTTCCTGTGACTGTAGCAGATTTTGAAAAGATACAAACAAGAAAAGAGCCAGGTTTGGGAATTAGCCTGCAGTCAATCAGAACGAGTTTTTCATGCCTTTTCCAATATGCCATTTTGTCATCAGAGACTGGCAAGTCCTAAAGAGACAGATCCCTGGCTTAGCCAGTAGGAGAAATCCCCCTCATGAAATCCTCACAGCACAATCTTAAAACCTTTCCTGAAACCTGAGATTTGGATAAAACCATTTTCAACCCTGCTAGCAAGGGACACTACAAAACAATCTCCCTCAAAACACTTTGTGCGGATATGTGTGTGGATATGCGTACAACTGCCTCCTTATAAAGTGCTCTCAGCCCTGGGAGGGGAAGTGAACAGGAACTATAATATCAGGTAGGGTAAAAAATGTCAGATTTCAGGCAGATTGTATTTTCCTGCCTTGTTTAATCTCCATTGAGGGGGAGAATGAAGATTTGTGCCTGAATTGTTTGATTTTCTCTTTGTCATTACCCATATAACAGCTTAAACTCTCCCCTTCTAAATCTGAGGTGACTTTTAGAGGTTCCCTATCAAACACCGACACTATACAACACTCTATTAGATTACACTTTGTCAGCAAATCGGCACTTTAGATACTAAGCGATAGCATGTGCTCTACAACCATGCTATCATTCTTGCTCTAAGATCTTGTCAGAGCCTATAAATTAAGCAGTATATGGCCCTGGAGTTACATGAAAGGGAGGGCTGTAAACAACAGGAAGATGCTGCCTCAAAGTGCAGGACTTAAATAAAATTCTCTCCTGTCTGACCCAGGACAGGAGTACCACCCCAGCACAGGCTGACCATTTTAACCTACCCATTACTGAATGAGCAGCAGCATTAGGATGCTACCTAATGCTGCTCTCTGAAGACTCTGCATCATGGGTGTCTCCATTCATAAGATCTGCGTCTCCTACTGTACTACTATGGTAGCCAAACTATAAGAGATGCTGCCCAAGAATGCACTGACTCTGAAACGATAGCTCTGGCAACAGCTTACCTGCACAGGGCAGTAGGTCATTACTTTGACAATCTGAATCAACATTGCCCAGGAACAGCATGAGTTACTGCAAAAAAAAAGGAAGATATAGCCAGCCAGGTCACACCTCTGCCACATTCCCATTTACATTTTAACCCCAGGGATGAGAATTGAGGAAGCCTTACACTTCAGCCCCTTGCTAGCCTGCTGCTGAGGAGATGGAAAAAGCCCTTTGATACTGCCTATAACTATGAGAAAGATTCAGTCAGAAAATGAACAAAAGAATGATCCTCTGGTGTGGTGTTCTTTGGATCTCCAACACTACTTTGATTCAGTGGTGAATATCCCACAGCAATTAGGCATGAAACTAAGGATTAATATAATTTCGTCTGGCAGCCTTTCCAGAAGGAGTACCTAAATGCTCTTTTCACATCTTCAGGTATGTTTACTTCAGGGACAGGACCTGTACAGGACTGTATCATCTACAAAGTTCTTTGCTATTCCTAAAAAAGGAGACATCTGATTTCAAAGTCATTATTAGGCTTGCATGGTACAGTGGTTTCAGTGCATGCAAACTACATGCATGATCACAGAACACCTCATTACTATTATTTATTTTGAGTAACAAACACCTTGTAGAGGACAGGGAGCAGGGTGTCAAAGCTCCCTGGTTTGGGGCACATGCTGCATTGCTCGCTCTTCTGGTGGTTGAGCAACAACTAGCACTAGCACAGTGACAACAGAATGAGAGCACTGCCACTTTCCCAGTCCATAGCCAGATGCATTCAGGCCGTACATACACCCCAAGTTCAAGGTTAACGCAAAGGGCTGCGCAAGTCGCCGGCTGCCCTTTGACAAGGTAGAGCTCCCCCTTGCCCAGCACTTGCGAGGTTGTGACTCAGCCCTGGTCACCGTGGATTCACGGAGCACAAAAGGGTAAAAAGGTCACAGAGCGGAGCAGGACTCCTTTAAGAACACTCCTGCGGGCTGGAAGGGAAAGCTAGTGAAAGGAACAGGCAGCAGCAGGCAGCACCTTCCCTGGAAGCCCGCCCTGCTGACTCCAGCACATAGTTTCAGTGCTCTCTGGTGGTAGATGAAATCCCTACCCACCTTCCCAGCCTGAAAAGAAAGGGGTGGATGTGCTGAATTTCAAGCCCCTCTTCTTCTGTATGAGTACAAGGCTATGAAGTCTAGGAGCATAAGCAAATATAGAGACAATCACAGGCATGCATTTTAAAATCCATGGAAGAGTTGGGCAGATAGATACAACTCCAATTAAAATTCTCAGCACCATAACGGCTTATTTTTAATAACTTTGTGAAAAGCAAAGGCTTTTCTGCTCTGTCATGGACACATTTTTTGTATGGAAATGAATGCCACAAGCAAAAAAGAAATACTTTCTAAGTGAATGCCCACATGCCAGTTTCACCGGCATGAAAACTCTTATATTTTCATTTCTCAGTGTATGCTCTGGCACCTCTGCCAGGGATTTGCTGGCAGACCTGAGCCTGCACTGACTATGTACTGAATCAGGTAGAGTCAAGCTGGGCCATAAGCAGAGACTGCATATATATATAGCAGGATACTGTTGCATATATATCTAAAGCAGGATACTGTTGCAGAAATGTGACCTATGATATTGCTGGTTTGGAGGGCAGGCAGGCAGCGACAAGAGTCTATACTGAATATAGAATTAAACATTTAAAAATAATAAAAAAAAACCCAACTATTGGGACACAGCCAACTAACAATTACTGAATTCAGTCACGCACAATTTACACCAGAGTAATTCAGCTAAAGCCGTCAGAAAAGCAATAGACATCATCTGGATTCACAAATCTATGCTTCAGTGCAGAATTTGCTCTCACCTGTGAGCATGAGACTGAAACAGGCTGGCTGGAGAGCTAAAATAAGAGGAAGAAGAAAAGGAAAAATGTTGAAGGTACTTTCCAAAGCCCTTTTTTAGCCCAGTCCTAGAGCTGGATCTAAAGAATTAGACACCAAGTCAGTTCAGACTTAAGCTGCCACACAGCACCTGAGTCCCACTTGATGTTGAGCTACAGGCGCTCAGCTCAACGCAAATGCAAGGGATCTCAACCTACCTCACAGTCAAAAATACCTAAGTTACGCTGAAACATTTTGTGTTTGCTGTAAGCTAAAAGAACACCTACCCCTGCCGGGGTTTGGTAACCTTTGCATAGATGTGATTTCTTTCCCTCATCAGGTGAGTCACATTCCTACTGAACTCCCTGAAGGAGATCCAATTAAACCAGGCAAATCGTTTCCTATGAGCTACATGTCCTTTTTCACTCTCCACAAAATACACACACTTCTTCGAGCACTTGTGTGGTTTGCTTTGAATACTCAATATGAAAAATTAAACATTTCACATGGATTTCTTTTTAAAAAGTCATCGAAAAAATCCATAGCCAATGCATGATCAATCAGAAGAAACAAAACCATGAGAAAATTTAAGTATAAGCTATTTGTCAGAAACTTCCCTTGCTTCTACATTGGGCTCTCTAGGATCAGTCTGGGAGACACAGGGCAGGACAACATCACACAGAAGAAATACCCTTGACTAACTCCTTGATCCCCAAAAGTAGACATCTGCAACACTACATGCTGTAAGACTCACAGCAGGTTCTACTGTTGCTATGGTTATTCAAAACCTTCTTTTCAACAGGAGAGAAAGAAATTCTGCCGGTCTCTGCAACCCACAGTAACACAACTGTGTCCCTGCCCACATGAAGGTGGGCTTCAGCAGCATCACCCTAAATATAAAGATCAAATTAAAGGCACTTAAATATTTAAATAGAATGAAAATGTAAATTAATTAATTGGCGGGGGAAGGAAAGGAAAGGAAAGGAAAGGAAAGGAAAGGAAAGGAAAGGAAAGGAAAGGAAAGGAAAGGAAAGGAAAGGAAAGGAAAGGAAAGGAAAGGAAAGGAAAGGAAAGGAAAGGAAAGGAAAGGAAAGGAAAGGAAAGGAAAGGAAAGGAAAGGAAAGGAAAGGAAAGGAAAGGAAAGGAAAGGAAAGGAAAGGAAAGGAAAGGAAGGGAAAGGAAAGGGGAAGGGGAAGGGGAAGGGGAAGGGAAAGGAAAGGGGAAGGGGAAGGGGAAGGGGAAGGGGAAGGGAAGGGAAGGGAAGGGAAGGGAAGGGAAGGGAAGGGAAGGGAAGGGAAGGGAAGGGAAGGGAAGGGAAGGGAAGGGAAGGGAAGGGAAGGGAAGGGAAGGGAAGGGAAGAGAAGGGAAGGGAAGGGAAGGGAAGGGGAAGGGAAAGGGAAAGGAAAGGGGAAGGGGAAGGAAAGAGGAAGGAAAGGGGAAAGAAAGGGGAAGGGGAAGGAAAGAGGAAGGAAAGGGGAAAGAAAGGGGAAGGTAAAGGAGGAAGGAAGGAAGGAAAGGAAGGAAGGAAAGGAAAGGAAGGGAAGGAAGGGAAGAGAGGGAGGGAGGGAGGGAGGGAGAGAGGGAGGAAGGAAGGAAGGAAGGAAGGAAGGAAGGAAGGAGCCCACATCTCTTTAAAGTTCTTTTCCTAATTTTGCAAGTATAGCCTCAGAACACAGAGTGGGATCCAGATCTCAGGAGGTACAGAAATATACTTGAGTTCTGTCACTAACTATAGTGTTTTCTTCAGCATCTAGATTGGAAATTCAATAGGAGTGCTAGCATCTGAATGGAAGTATTAACCAGTAAAGTCAGTGCGGAGCAGGAAAAGATTTACAATACATTTGTTATCCCCTCAGGTGGCTGATTAGCAATGTAATGTAATGAATTATTTAACTCACACATTATTTTCTTCCCCACCATTTTTTTTTTATATTCTTCCCCACTCCTTCAAGCAGGCAATGGGCTTGAGTTTTCTAGAATATGAATAAAATCAAGAATCATGATTTCACCACTTCTATTATTCAGCAACACTATATTAGATGCTGGACAGTTCTTTTCATTATTCCCCAGGTATGACTGACACTTCAGTGCAAAAAACACAGAGCGACTTGGATGCTACCATTTAAATGCAAATTGTATCATATCAAGGAAGGCTGAAACTCTAACAGGTCCCTAGTGACAGAGAATTTCCACAGTTGTCTTCGCTTCAGCGTACCATGTCAGAGGCCTGTGCTATGCACTGTTTTCGCCTCCTACAGTGCAGATTCGACTCCCAATCAGGGATGCATTTAATGGTCTTATTCAAGACACCATAAGAGCACATCACTATGGAGATCCTGCTTTCCTGCTCCTATGCAATAATTTTCTGCTTATTCATCTGAGGTCACATTAGTTTTCAGCAACAGCCTCCCACTGAGAACTCTTGTTCAGCCAATTAGGCACTCTGACTTCTGATTCCTTTCAGGGTCACCATTTCCCTGGAAGCTAGTACCAGCTCTGCATGTGTATCCTATTGCCCTTGTTCAGAATCACACGACCTTGCATTTGGTTACATTAACATTCGTTCTGGTTAAACAAGGCCCACTTCCCAAATGAACTAGATTGATCTGTCAAACTCATCAAACTTTACCACTGTTTACCCTTAACTAATACTGTACGCTCTGCAAATTTTATAGGCACTATTTCCCCTTTTCTGAGCCATAAATAAAATCTCTGAATTGTATTAGGCCAGGAAAAATCCATGTGGAACTGTGCTGGAAACACCTTCTGTGGATTCTGAGTCCTCGTTTGCAATTCCTTTTTTGAAATCCATCAGCCAATTATAATCTACTTATTATGCAGTACATTAATTTTGCATAGTTTTAATTTTTTAATTGGAATGTCACGTGGTATGAAGTCAAATGCATTAGAGAAGTGCAGGTACATGTCAGCACAGCTCCTTTATCAGCCAAACTTTTCAAAGTTGTGTTTGCTTAAGGAGATCTCTTCTCCACAAAGTGAGATGTGCAACAGTTGCTGCTTAAGTCTGTTGTTTGGAACAAAATGCTGCATCTGTATTCTTAACGAGCAATGAGGAACTGTAGAAGGAAGATTTTGAACGGGAAGCAGAGCAGTTGTATTTTCTTACTGCCAAGCCCAAAGGTTTTCAATCACCATTCACTGCATTTACTTATAAAACACACTATGTTGAAATGTGTATTGGAGAAAGAACACACTGCAGATTTCTCAGCACTTCAAGCCACGAACGGTTACCCTCCCCTGTGGTATAAAAAGATGAACTGAACAGCACATTTGCTTACTCCCTTCTCGTTCTGGTTCACTAGCTCTTATCTGTCTTGTCTAAGGAGACCTTGTGGAAGAGTCTCTCAGCTTTTATCTCTATAGAGATATGTGTCCTGAACGAAGCTAAGAAAGTGTCATGGCTTGATGATACTTGATGAGAAATCTAGAAGACAGCTTTCAGCTTAAGGGTGCAACTCAATTACTGTGTGAAAAACACAGAGGCAGGACCTTCTCTGATCAGCTGATCTCTGAAGCTCTAGAGGGCTGCCTCATCTGTTTCTGAATCACCTTCTAGAAGAACAGGCAGATTACACACCACCTTCTTACAGTCTGATCCTCTCACAGAAGTCGTAGCCACTCAAAGAATAGTTACTTGACATGGGGTGTCCAGACCACCCCGAGCTGAAAGAGCGGGGTTCCTCTCTTCCTCCTCACTCCCATCCACTCATATGCACACCAAAGCAGTGGTTGCTGGATTCACAAGAAGATGATTTTGTTTTCAACACTGTGAGGCAACTAAAATACAGAAAACTGCTAGGGAGTTGGATTACCTCAGTAAAGCACTGGACAAAGGGAAAGGCATGACAGAGAAGGGGAAGGTGAAGAGATAAACAGAAGAGTAGAAAAAAGGAGATACCTTTTGCTTCACTGTTAATGAACTATTAAAGCCAGATGCTGTTGATGGGCTATAGTTCGCAATAAAACTTGGAATGCTCTCTCTGAAATTGCTAGACAGTCTATGGAATATCAGGGAGTGACAATAATAATAAATCAGCACATAAGAATTTATGTAAAATTATTTTTTAACCATAATTTATGGACTCTGGTTTAAAATACCAAATTTGTTTCAGTTGTTTAATATAACAATTTTTTTATTTTTTTTTCCCCAATGGAAAATGTGCATTTCCTGACCCCAAAGTCAACAAAAAGCAGATTGACAAAAAGCACTGTATATTATTTGGGCACAGAAATGAATTTGTTGCTAGGGTCCAATTCTGAACCCCCAGCTCATAGTATTGAATACCTCAGGTTCAATATCATGTGGTTCTACATGCTATCACTAACCACAGAATTCACATAAAAAATCCAGTACTTCTCTTGATGAATAAGAAGTATCTGTTACTTTGAAACTTTCTGTATGATTTAGCATGTGCAATTACAGTCATGCAATCCCATTGAAATCAGTATAGTAACATTCACCATATTAAAGGTATCATTGGCAGGCACTGTACACGAACTTGAAACAGATAGCTGTAAATCAGGACAGATTGATGTAGTACTGAAAGTCACTCCTTCTAAATTTAATACCAGACCTGACTTTGATTTGTTTTAGTTCTCTTGGATATAACAGCAGCCTTGTGATCTCAAGCTCATGATGCTATTAACTCACTTAATACAGTTTTACTCACTTTTAAGAATTGGTAATAGCTCCCTGTGGTCATTTTGGTCACCTCTTAAAATCAAGGTCTCTCTGGACATTCCTTCAAGTAATTTATGAATGGGTCAATGAAACTTAATAATTCCAGCTGTCTTCTCTCACTCTCCTCATGTTTCAAAGCAGTGAGTTTTACTCCCTTCTAATGTAGATAGCAACATTTCTTGCTTGGCTTAAGATGGGTGACTGATATTGTTTCTGAATTATTGCACAAATAAAATATGGATTTGGAACAGACTTTTCTAACATCCTACAACATACCATTTAAGAGGACAGGAAGTGGAGGACACAATGTTGCATAATTCACTGAGATGCAGCCCTCTGCCACTGCACATGCCTGTATTAATTAACTTCAGAAGCAAAAGGTTTAACTCCCTGCTAATGCCATTCTAACATAGCTACAGCCACTGTCAAAAGCTGCTTCTGTAGATTACAGTCATACAGTATTGGGTTTGCTAACCATTGACAGGACTTGCAAAATACTAGGTATGTGCTGCTATAAAGAAACTGGTATTTGCAATGGCTGGTCTTTAGCTTCTGTATTAACTCAATTCAGAAAATGATTGTGCAGCAAGTAATGCTGCACATCAGTTCAGTGAGCTGTGAGGCTGTCTTAGCTACTGAGAAAACTCACCCTCATTTCTTGATCTGCCATTTGAGAACTTGTGAAAGCGATGATGAACACCTATGAGGCTGCAAACCATGCACTGTCTAGACAATATATGCACAGCAGGGAAAACATACATAAAAACAAACTCTGACAGCCTGTCAACAAAGGTAGCTGTCCAAGCTAGTCCACTGTAACTGTACAATGACATGGTAAGCCTGGACTTACCTGCTGATGTTTTGTTGAGCTTATAATCATGCATTGACAGAGATATTAAGATTAGCACAAACTAGGTATGAATGGAAACAAATGTGTGCAGGCACCAGAAGAAACAGCAGAAGTGTTTAAAAAAAATGGTCTGCATTGATATATAATGATTCTGTTCCGAGAAATAAAAATGAGAAGTGTGCTGTTCATGTCAAGACCAGACAGCCTGCACTCTGGTAAGACCATAGCACAAATGAGTCATCAGGAGGAGATCCTATCCATTGAAACAAGAGGATGGCATCAAGGTCACAGCCCATCACTTATGCCAT